GGGCTGAAGGCCCGTGCCGGGGCTGGGGCAGAGGCCGCTGGGCCCCGGACGGCACCGGTCAGCGGGCTGCAGGGCATGTGTGGCGGGCACAGGCCACTGGTGGCTGCGGCGCAGGGCACAGGGACAGCCGCTGGCCCACGGAACCAGCGTGGTGAGGGCCGCGGCCAGGGCTGCCCGCCTGTCTCCGAGGGCCCCGGGCCGGCGCCAGGGTGGTCGCAGTCCAGGGCCGCGGGGCAGGGCAGCGCCCGGGGGCTTCAGAGACTGACCACAAGAGGGACTCGGGCAGAGCTCAGGGGGCTTCCTGAGTGCCCTCGGCAGGTGGAACAGTCTCGCGCTGTCCGGAGGCCGCCCCGGCCTGGGTGCAGAGGAGACAGTGTCTCCGTGGGCCGGGGCAGAGCCGTCCGGCGGCCTCCAGGGCCAGGCCACCCAGGCCTGTGTGCGCCCCGGGCCGTGTGAGCGGGTCTTCTGCTGATGCCCAGAGAGCAGAGCTCGGTGGCCGCCGCGTCCTGGGGGGCTCGGCCAGAGCAGGGTGCGGCCGGACGGGGCGCACTGGAGATGGGCTCCTGTGCACCTCCTGACCGGGCGGCTGGCGGCTTGGGGTCCCGCGGGGGCGCCAGTGCTTCGAGACCAGAGGTGGGGGGGGCGAGGCCCTGGGCCCTGGGGCGGGCTCGGGGGAGGGGCCTCGCGGGGAGGCCGCCCACCCGGCCCGCCCTTCCTTGCAGTGAAGATCGTGATCCGCGGGGACAGGAACACGGGCAAGACGGCGCTGTGGCACCGGCTGCAGGGCGGGCGCTTCGTGGAGGAGTACATCCCCACGCCCGAGATCCAGGTCGCCAGCATCCACTGGAGCTACAAAAGTGAGCGCCTGCCCGCCGCCCCAGACGCCCCGTGTCGTCATGGCAACGCATGCTGCTGGCTGCCAGGGCCCCTGGGGGTGCTCGCCCCACTTCCTGAGCCCCAGCACTGCCTCGCCAGGAGGCCCCGGGAGCCGGTCAGGGTGCTCTGGGCCCACAGAGGGCAGCTTAGGGCGACTCCCCCCGCCCCGAGCCCCGGCCTTGCCGTCACGTCCCCATGGCCACGCCGCTCGTCCGCAGGGAGGGTGGCCAGGCGGCCTGGGCAGCGGGGGCCTCGGGGCCGACCAGAGCTGTGGGCGGGGACCTGGGCTGTCCCTGGGAGGCCGGACGTCCTGGGCCCTGTAGAAGCCGGACCTGCGACCAGCTGTGAGAAGCGGCCGCTGGGCCCTGCTGAGGCGCGGTGGCCGGCCTGACCGGGGCTGGAGAATGGGGCGCCTCTGGAGGCGCTGGGCTGCCCATGTGGCCGGCCCATGCTGCTGCTGACCTCGGTGCCCCCGTTTCAGCCACGGATGACATCGTCAAAGTGGAGGTCTGGGACGTGGTGGACAAAGGTGAGCGCCCGCAGGCTCCCTGCGCCCCAGAGCCCCACTCTGGCTTGGAGCCCCACACTCTTCAGTGCAGAGGCCCCCAGCTGGGAGCGCCCAGCGGCCAGGCCCAGCCTACTGCCCCCCCGGGGTGAGGGCTGGGAGTGGCTGCCCTCACAGCTCGCTGCCTGTGTTGTCTTCCAAACAGGAAAATGTAAAAAGCGGGGCGAGGGCCTGAAGACGGGGTACGAGCCCCAGGAGGTGAGCTG